GGGGAATTTTAAAAAAGAAAACCATATCTGGGGGCATCACAATGCCAGATTTCAGGCTGTACTACAAAGCTGTGGTCATCAAGACAGTGTGGTACTGGCACAAAAACAGACACATAGATCAATGGAACAGAATAGAGAACCCAGAAGTGGACCCTCAACTTTATGGTGAACTAATATTCGATAAAGGAGGAAACTCTATCCACTGGAGGAAAGACAGTCTCTTCAATAAATGGTGCTGGGAAAATTGGACAGCCACATGCAGAAGAATGAAACTAGACCACTCTCTTGCACCATACACAAAGATAAACTCAAAATGGATGAAAGATCTAAATGTGAGACAAGATTCCATCAAAATCCTAGAGGAGAACACAGGCAACACCCTTTTTGAACTCAGCCACAGTAACTTCTTGCAAGAACATCCACGAAGGCAAAAGAAACAAAAGCAAAAATGAACTATTGGGACTTCATCAAGATAAGAAGCTTTTGCACAGCAAAGGATACAGTCAACTAAACTAAAAGACAACCTACAGAATGGGAGAAGATATTTGCAAATGACGTATCAGATAAAGGGCTAGTTTCCAAGATCTATAAAGAACTTCTTAAACTCAACACCAAAGAAACAAACAATCCAATCATGAAATGGGCAAAAGACATGAAGAGAAATCTCACAGAGGAAGACATAGACATGGCCAACAAGCACATGAGAAAATGCTCTGCATCACTGGCCATCAGGGAAATACATATCAAAACCACAATGAGATACCACCTCACACCAGTGAGAATGGGGAAAATTAACAAGGCAGGAAACCACAAATGTTGGAGAGGATGTGGAGAAAAGGGAACCCTCTTACACTGTTGGTGGGAATGTGAACTGGTGCAGCCACTCTGGAAACTGTGTGGAGGTTCCTCAAAGAGTTAAAAATAGACCTGCCCTACGACCCAGCAATTGCACTGTTGGGGATTTACCCCAAAGATTCAGATGCAATGAAACGCTGGGACACCTGCACCCCGATGTTTCTAGCAGCCATGTCCACAATAGCCAAACTGTGGAAGGAGCCTCGGTGTCCATCGAAAGATGAATGGATAAAGAAGATGTGGTTTATGTATACAATGGAATATTACTCAGCCATTAGAAACGACAAATACCCACCATTTGCTTCAACGTGGATGGAACTGGAGGGTATTATGCTGAGTGAAGTAAGTCAATCGGAGAAGGACAAACATTGTATGTTCTCATTCATTTGGGGAATATAAATAATAGTGAAAGGGAAGGGAGAAGAAATGTGTGGGAAATATCAGAGAGGGACACAGAACATAAAGACTTCTAACTCTGGGAAACGAACTAGGGGTGGTGGAAGGGGAGGAGGGCGGGGGGTGGGGGTGAATGGGTGACGGGCACTGAGGGGGGCACTTGACGGGATGAGCACTGGGTGTTATTCTGTATGTTGGCAAATTGAACAGCAATAAAAATAAATTTATTATTAAAAAAACAAATAAGGCCAATGATGAACCAATGACATATTTAAATGAAGCAGTTACCATTAAATGCCACCTGACTTTCACCCTGGCAATGAAGGACCCCCAAAAATTCAGAAATCTTGTGTTTAACATTTTGTTATATATTCAAAATTTAAAAGTTGTGGACTATTTTAAATTTTTTAAACCATTAAAATACAAATAAATACATTACAAATAAAATACATTAACAAATGAGAGTCAATCTTCATGCTACTAGTGTAGAATGTCTACCTTAGAGGATTAAGAAATGTTCCACGAGGGGTGCCTGAGTGGCTCAGTCGGTGTGACTGACTCTTGATTTCAGATCAGGTCATGATCTTATGGTCATGAGATCAAGCCCCACATGAGGCTCTGTGCTGAGCATGAAGCCTGCTTGGAATTCTCTTTCTTTCTCCCTCTACCCCAGCCTGCTTGCTCTCTCTCTCTCTCAAAAAAAAAAAAAAAAAAAGAAAAGAAAGAAAAAAGAAAGAAGAAAGAAATGTTTCGTGAAGAGTATTATTACTTAGACTTCTCCCCGTATGATATGTAGAATTTAGACTACAGCGATTAGAGGAAAGAACATTCCAGGCAAAAGCAACATCGTGACTTAAGTTAGGAAAATACAAGTGTAATGCAAATAAATGAGAAACCATAAAGGACTTATTTTTAAAGGGGTGTTGAATCTGTGACGGGAGGAGCAGGAAATACAGTAATGTGAGCATTTAGGGAAAGAAGGTGAGGATAACCAGGAGTCTACGTAGATTCTTTAAAAGCAAGTCATGCCCAGTATGCCTCCCTGTATTTCGTAAGGCTGAGAGCTTGCTACCATGCCAAAAACATGAACGTGGATTCCAGTAGAGTAACCTGGGAGATAAGTTGGTGAAATATCTTCAACCCTGTTTTGTTCGACACTTTGTCAATGATATTGATGATGATCAAGAAGACATTTACTATTTGTAGTTGACACAAGGTTGAAAGGCATCACTAATACGATGATATACTCAAACCTTAAACAATTTTGAGACTGAATGCAAACTTTCGACAAAACACTAAAGGTATTTCTGAGCCAAGAAAGTGAAAGAAATAAGTATAAGATGCATGAAAAGAAAGGCCATCTGATTTAAGAATATTAAGAATCAGAAAGGTTAATTAACATCCCTCAAATCATACAGTTCATGGCAGAAGTGGAATACACATTCCTAGTCTATCTGGAATCAAAGTCTATGCTCTTTCTTATCCACCACAGAACCAGTTAAGTATAAAAGGACTATGTACTTCTCTTAGAAGAACTTTAGCTTGTATTTTGTGCTGAGAAGAAGATGGAGGTAAATGTCCTTGAAGATCACAATTAATTATAAAATCTATTTTTATTTTCTTATAAAACATGAATGAAGTTTGGACCTAATATACTGAGTAGAGTGGATCCAATTTTATATAAGCTAAGATTTCTGTGTCAAAGAATGAAATTTTATTTTTATTGTTCTGTTCTTCATGTCACGATAATAACAGAATATACTTTCTTGCTAATTAAAGATATCTCAATCTCAATTATATAACATTTTCTGAGCACCTATTAATTGCTACGAATATTTGGAAGTCACAAAATTTCTTCCCATGAAGCGTTCAAGCATAATTTAAAACAGTTTTTAAGGTTGTTCATTAATTGCCTTTGAAACTTTTAGTGCCTGACATCGGACCTAACTTTTTGCAAAGGACTTCAAGATTATGTATGTGTGAGCATATGTGTCTACATGTGTGTTACACCATACACCTGAGAATGAAAATACTGAATACTCGCCAAGCACGTGCTTTTCCTACCTTCTTATTCCTTTCCTCTTTCTTACCTATTCTCCTCACTCTCCCATTTCCTCTACCATCCAAGTTCACACCTTTCAAAATTGTCAGAGAGGCAATTAAAAGAAAATAATTCTTATTTTAATTACATTCATGCTTCATTTTTTATTGAACTGCAGTATTTCATTCGATTACCAAATTCAGTATAATATGTTCACCATTTCCAAAGACAGAAAACCCATCTTAAATTTTGAGATGTATCATATTAAAATTCCTAAAAGTATGTAAATTTCTAAAAAGATAATAAATATCTTGAAATAAAAGGAACAATATCTGAACTACATATATATCTTCTCAAAGTGTTTAATGTAAAAGGAACCCCATTGTTTAGAAGTATAATTTCTGAGTTATTTGTACATACAACACACACTTGGTACATACAAATCACTTGTGTTTTTTTTTTATTCTTTTAATTTTTTTATTGGACTGTAGTTGACACACAATATTACTTAGTTTCAGGTGTACAAAATAGTGACTCAGCTTCTCTATACCTTACACTATCCATACTCACCATCAGGGTAGCTACCTCTGTCACCATACAATGCTGTTACAATGTCATTGACTGTATTCCCTCTGCTGTGCCTTTTAAGCCTGTGACTTATTCATCCATAACCAGAAGACTCTATCTCCCACTTCTCTTCATCAACTTTGTTCAACTCTCCACCCCCCTTCCCACTGGCAACCATCAATTTGTTCTCTGTATTAATAGGCCTGATTCTGCTTTTTGTCTGTTTGTTTATTCATTTGTTTTATTTTTCTGGATTCCACATAGGAGTGTTTAAACTGGGTATATTTGCATGGTTTTCCAAAACTTTAAAGTGCTATATTTTTTTTCATAGTATTTTAAGTAGCTGTTTATGATTTGAGACAGACTTTTTCATTAGCGCTATAACCATTGTTTATTTTTGTTGTTCCCACAAAAAAAGGTACAGCATCCCACTCTTTGATCTGTCTTGCAAATGAATTGGCCATGATAGTTAATGGGATTCATCTATGTATATGAAGAGTATATTTTCAAGAAGCAAAAACAAAAAGTTTTATTATGACTACTTTTTTTACCTTATAGAGAAAAAGAAATTAGTTACTATTCCTTATTTTAAATATTCCTCAATTCAGTAACTTTTTTAAAATAATTTTTTAAGTTTTTATTTAAATTCCAGTTAGTTGACTTAGTGAAATATTAGTTTCAGATGTACAATATAGTGACTCAATACTTTCATATATCACCACCAATTAATAAATGAATGAAAATAATTTTTTACAAATAAAAAATATATATAGACTTCCTTCTTCATTTTGACTTCAAAATTGAAAATCACTGGCATTTGAGTACAGTGATGATTTTTAAAATTAGCAGGCTGATTCCTCCCCCAGAAAATGCTTTTGCTAATGCAGTCCTGGTGACAACATAGAATACCTATTTTGGGGGGGTACACCTTGGATGACGTGGACTTTAAAAATCCAAGTTACACCCTAGATTCCATTCCCCTGTGGTTGCTCATCTGGACCACAGACATGCAGGACCTGTCTGCAAGAGACCTAGGCATCAAGCGGGCTCCACCAGTGAATCATCCCTTTAATGTAGCAAAACCTTAGAGGGAAGACTAGGGAGGATATATTGGTTGTTAGGAAAACGTAGACTACAGCTGGGAAAGGACATCCTCAATTAATAAGATCCAAGGTGCAACTTACATAATTATTCTAATTTTTAAGAATGTTGGAGAGCATGAAGCATTTCTTTAAGTTGGTAAGAGGTCCCAATAAATGCCTAAATTGTATAGATTTGCATATGGTTTTAGAATATGATTTATAAAGAAGGTGGAGATCCCAGCTCCCTTGATCATGTCTATATATATATGTCTCAGTGTGCGTTTTAGTGCCCTGGGAAGTGTCTTGACACAGAACCTGAGCTGGACAAAGCAGCCTTGATCTGAGTGAGCTAACTGGCACCATGAAAACATTGAGTGTCTTTCTGCTCTTCTCTCTGGCTCTTTTCAGCATTTTCTCAGGTGAGTTGTTTTTTTTTTCTTAAAGTTATAATACAGTGTTCATAGCGAACTGGAAATAAGGGTATTTGTCTACCATATTTCAAATTCTAACAATTTTGATATTAAAGACAAATTCTGAGATCATTATAATGGTGATAATGACTGTGATGATGAAAAAGGTGATAGTAATGATAAAAATATTTTTTGTTGAGCATATTCTATATTTTAAGAATGTACTGAGGGCTTTTATACATTATCTTCAATACACATGTCAAGTATTCATATCTATATTCTACATATTAAAAAAAACCATGGCACATAGAACTTAAGAGAATTGGCAAAAGACTTGTAAGTAGGAAGCAGAATTCATAACTTGAATCCATGACTTCTGAACATTATAGATGTTTGTTTCATAGAACTAGTCCGGAGGACGAGTAATTTGGTTTCCAAGACAAAAGAAGAATTTCCTGTCCTCATTATTCTTATAATTAAGATTCAAATAACTGAAATTGAAATAAGGAGGAAAAAGGCAGCCCAGAGAATGCTTCAGAAAAGTTATGGAATCCTAAAATGCAGAAACATTTATGCTGGTGGTGAATTAATTCTTCAAGCAGGGGAATATCTTTGGCTACTTTAATGAGCAATAGTCATAGATTCTATCAATTCAGATTGTTGAAAGGATAGTTATAGTTCAATCTGATATTTTTTATCACAGCATTGTATGAATAAACAGGGCCACTGTACCTATTTCTTTCCTTCTTTATTATTCTATTCTTTGCAGTTTCAGTGTGAGAAGTGTTGGCATTAGGAGTTCCACAGCAGTGGCCAGAAATCAAGATTCAACAGCTCATACCAGAACTGAATCTAAGACTTTTATTGTATCTGTATTTTAAACCACTGAGCTGGGATCCCTGGGTGGCACAGCAGTTTGGCGCCTGCCTTTGGCCCAGGGCACGATCCTGGAGACCCGGGATCGAATCCCACGTTGGGCTCCCGGTGCTTGGAGCCTGCTTCTCCCTCTGCCTATGTCTCTGCCTCTCTCTCTCTCTCTCTCTCTCTGTGACTATCATAAAAAAAAAAAAAAGAAAGAAAGAGTGGTTTAAACCACTGAGCTAATTAGCCACAACTTAAAATCACATACATAATCCTAAAGATGGAAGAGAGAGAAGCAAAACTGTATTTATGGACATTTTTTTCTCTTTCAAGAATTTAGAAAGCTGTAGCGAGAGAAATATATCGCAGAAAAGAGAATGAGTTTGTCCGTACAAGTCTATATTTGGGTCTATATTTAAAGCTGGTTGAGTATAAAGGGCAGAAGAGTAATTTGGGGATCAAAGAACAAACAACAAAAGTAGTGCCTTCCCCAGCTGCCTGTAACAAGGACTTTGGGGAGAGGCTGCAGGCACTGAAGCCTGGAAGGTCAAAGTTAGAGGAAACTTTCCACCCCGACTTCTCTACAGTGAAGCCAGAGATAATAGGTAGGTCATTCCCATAGTAAATTAGTGACTCAACCAGGACTGTCATATGAATTCCCGAGTCCTTTAACTATTTCCTCTAACTTCCCCTCAACCTCCAAGAAATATTCTCCATCAGGGTCCTGTCCTTATATCACTTTTGAAGTTTCTACAGAGGGCACCTTTTTTCTGCAAATCCTGCTTTTCACACATTCAGAGACTACATTGTTTGGATTTTGTGCTTTTTTTTTTTTCAGGTGTCTTCAGTCAAGGAGGACAGGTCAGTGTATGTTTTTTATCTATTCTTCAGACCTGGCTGGTATTTGGTTGGTATTCCCTGGCCAGAGGTTTGCCTATGGGTAAAAGAGCAGAAACGATGGACAAGCAGGACAAATACAGAAATCAGAAGTATATCATTTTTTAATTACAGTATCTCTATGAATATACTGTTTTCAGTTTTAAAGAGTCTAAATGCCCCATCCTCAGATTTTGTTAAAGTGAAATAAGTATAAATAAAAATAGGATGAATCTGGGCAGCCCGGGTGGCTCAGCGGTTTAGCGCCTGCCTTCATCCCAGGGCGTGACCCTGGAGACCCCGGATGGAGTCCCACTTGGGCTCCCTGCATGGAGCCTGCTTCTCCCTCCACCTTGCCTCTGCCTCTCTCTCTCTGTCTCCTCTCTGTGTATTCTCATGAATAAATAATAAAATCTTAAAAAAAATAGGATGAATCTGTGATAGCACTAATGCTCAGTCACTGATTTCACTGTGTGATCTTGGGCAAGTTACTCAGTTTTTCTGAGCCATAATTTCCACAACTATAGAAAAGGAATAATATTATTCACATAGAATTAGATTTAAGTTATATAAACTATGTGAGAGTATTTGGCAAATTATAGAAGGATGACTTAGTGATCAATCATTAGCAACTTCTAAAGGAGTTATTAGAACAGAGGCTGTTAATTTCTGCTTAGAGAGTAAACTTGTTCAGTGTCTTGCCCTGAGTATTCACTTAAACTTAAGTACCGTTGGGATTAACAATTGAAATAGGCACAAGTTATCTTCTTTATTTGGTTGATTCTTTTTTCCAAATTAATCTACCACCTTTTTCAAGTTTTCTTGTTCTATCAAAAGACAACACAAAACAAGTGGTATTTGTTCTACCAGTCCTGGCCCTGTGTCTATATTGAACATTTTTACTTGACTTTGGGCTTGGTTCTTGGTTAGCCTCATTGTGCTCAAGAACTCTTGGCATCAGAAGCTTCTAGACACTACAGCCAACTGATTGGAGTTGGCAAAGTAGCTGAAAAACATTTTCCAACCCTAGTTTACCTTCTGCTCGCATAAGGCTTTTTATTCCTCAAATTTAGCATCTCAGAAATTGAAATGCATCTTATAATGGATGATGCCTCATGATTACTGCCAGTGTGCTATATGTGCTTGTGTGTGTGTGTGTGTGTGTGTGTGTGTACACATGCATGCGCATATACACTTGGGTCCTAGTGCATACACACATGGGTTTGTATTGCTATATGTAATTATACATCTTAAAATTGATTTATTCTTATGTTTAAATATATATGGTAGCCAGCCTATGTTAAATATCAGAATAGAGAGAGGACATAAGATCCAGAAAAACATTCTATATCCCATTCAGTAGTAAAATATGATGAGGCCGGGGGATCCCTGGGTGGCGCAGCAGTTTGGCGCCTGCCTTTGGCCCAGGGCGCAATCCTGGAGATCCAGGATCGAATCCCACGTCAGGCTCCCGGTGCATGGAGCCTGCTGCTCCCTCTGCCTATGTCTCTGCGCCTCTTTCTCTCTCTGTGACTATCATAAATAAATAAAAATTTTAAAAAAATATGATGAGGCCATTACATACAAATTTAATATATATGGAATTTAACCCCAATTTTCTCATTAACACAGAAGTTGCTTTTCTTCTTTCATTTTGGAATTCCAGATTGGATGTTTAGTGTTTCTAGGGTTCATTGAAAATCTGCTATTTATTGGTTTGTTCCTGTAGATGGACCCCAGTCTTAGACTCTGCTTGCCTGAGGATCCCAGGGGATGCTTCCTCAGTATGCAGATCCTCAGACACTATGCCAGGCTTGCTGAGTAATAACACACAACTGGGGAGTTTTGAATCTACATTCTAGGTAATTACCTGATGCTGGAAAGCACCTACTTTAGAGTGCCCACACACCCTGGAGACAGTATAAATGAGTCCTTGTTTGAATCCTTGCTGGCTATATGATCCAAGGGGTGTATCTTCCCTACTCACTGCCTTTGTTTCCACATCTCTAAAATGAAAATATGGATTCAATGACCTCTAGAACCCCTTCCGGCCTTGGGTATCTGAATCGGAATGAACCAAGCCTGCCTGACCAAGACTGCTGTCTCTTTTACGCTCAAATATTAAGGGTAGGGATGATGCCACCTTTGAGATGGCACAAAGGCTACATTTCTCTTCTGTGTGTCTGGAAGAATGCTGGCGATCCGAACAACAGGCAGAAATTGAAACTATCCTTGGAAGCATGCCTACTCACGTCTGATCCAGCCAGGACAAAAGGGAAAGAATTTTCTCTGACCCCAAAGCCAATATCTCATGCCAAGAAGTCTCTCCATGATGGAGCACCTGATGGGAAATTAGAGTTGAACAGTTTAAATTACTGACTTGTAAAAGTTTCACATTATTTCAAAGAAAGGGTTCAAACTAAACGAAAAGCATGTTCCTGAACTTTGGGAATTCATAGTTCCATAAACTTTCCTCCATTAATTTAAGTGACTACTACGCTGCCAACTCTTTAATTTGCCAAGTAGAAACATTAAATAACAGAAATATAAAAATATAATAATAATAATAAAAAGTAAAACCACTATTTACCATCATCAGCCTTCATTAAAGAAATTATAGGGTAATACCAAAATGCTTCAAATACATGCTCTCAGAACAAGGATAGGTTTTTGAACAGAATACATTTTGCTTTCAGAACCCCTCACTACTTTGTCTTTATTTTTCTTATTTCCCTACTAAGCTGGATATTTGGGAACCATATCCTTAAGGTGCTGTTTAAATGAGTATTCCAGATTGAAATTAATATAACAAACTGCTCAAAAATAAATAATTGTCAACCATTTTCTTTTACAATAATTTTAAGATATATAAGTTTATTTTTGTTGGTATTTTAAGATAAAGGCATGATAAATTTTAGTAGAGTTAGTAAAACAATGCTCCATGGCTAAAATATGTTTGGGGCTATTCATTTTTCCTAATGAGCTTGTACTAACTCATAATTAAGATACTGATAGGACACCTAAATACAACCTGGCAGTGTTAATCAGCACCTACACTTTAACTACAGATAGGGAAACAGGCTTCAGAAAGAGGACCTACCTCACCCAAGTTTAGCAACAGCAGTAAAGCTGTGCAATCAGCATCTCAGGATGCCCAACTCCACTTTGAGTGAGCGTCTGTGGATTCATGCTACTTCATCTTTTTTTTTTTAATTGGAGGGGAAGGGCAGACGGAGAGGGAGAGAAAATCTTAAGCTGGCTCCACACCCAGCATGGTGCCCAGTGTGGGGCTTGATCTCACAACCATGAGATCATAACCTGAGCCAAAATCAAGAGTTGGACACTCAACTGACTGAATCACCCAGTTGCCCTTCCATGCTACTTCTGATCAGCAACAGAAAGCCATTGTGCAGGGCGTGTGAATACATAATGAGCAGCATAATTTTCTGAACAAATACATGTTAGTGTTTTCTATCCTTACTTCTTAAGCAAAGAAATACTATAATGGGATGCCTGGGTGACTCAGTGGTTGAACGTCTGCCTTCGGGTCAGGGCATGAACCTGGGTTCCAGGGATTGAGTCCCACATTGGGCTCCTCGCAGAGAGCCTGCTTCTCCCTCTGCCTATGTCTCTGCCTCTCTCTGTGTCTCATGAATAAATAAATAAAATCTTTTAAAAGAAAGAGAAAGAAAGAAAGAAAGAAAGAAAGAAAGAAAGAAAGAAAGAAAAAGAAAAAGAAAGAAAGACTATAATGAAAGCAGTAGTTTAGGGGCACCTAAACTAGTATTTTTCAGTAAAGAGGAGAATAGATGAAGTCCTACACTCTAGGGTGTGTGTGGGGCGGGGGGGGGGGTATGTGTGTATGTGTGTGTGTGATTGTGTGTTTGCAAACTTTCACTGGCTTTATTTGTAGAACTAAAATATTAGACTAAGATATCAATGATCTTGACTCTTTAGTTGATTTATTAACTGTACAAACTCATTTTCCAGATAATTTAAATAATCTGGTAGTCACCATTAGCAAAAGACACAGATTATTCCAGAATATTTTAGAAGCACAGTTCTTTGAAGAACCACAAGGGGTCAGACTGATACTAAACATTGGCACCCAAGTGCACGGAAGTGGTCTCTGGAAGCTGAACTGAGGTAATAAACAGAGATGCTTGTTAAATCCAACACCAATTTTAAAAAACATCAGAAAATTCACTAAAAATGGGATAGGAAATAATGGGCTCCAGAAATTGTAGACTGTGATACAATTTACATTGTTAGTATGCATAGTATCAATCTTCCACATACCTGGAGCTTTGACAAAGTGTTTTCAAAGGATTCATTATTAAAATAATCCCAGAAGATAGGCATTGCCAGCCCTGTTAAAGATGAAGAAACTTAAGCTCAGAGCAGTGAAGTTTTTGTACAAGGTAATGTAGCTAGTCAGTGAAAGAAGCAAAATTCAAACCTAGGTGTGTCTACAGAACAATCCTGCAACATGACAGAGCAGTAGGGGGTTTTAAAAGATTGGGGGAGAGGACAATTTCAACTCTCCTGGATTTTCTAAATCCCTCACAGGGAGGGAAACTTTAAAGGAGAAAAAAAAACTAATCCTACCATCCCCTTTAGCCTAGACCTGCTTTGACCTCCACTGAAAAGCCAGTTGTTTGGATTCCATGTACAGAAATCTAAAATACAAACAATAGGAGAGAGGAGATTTGGACACAAGAAAGACATGACATGGGGCATCTGGGTGGCTCAGTGGTTGAGTGTCTACCTTTGGCTCAGGTCGTGATCCCAGCGTGCTGGGATCTGGGATCGAGTCCCGCATCGGGCTCCCCGCAGGGAGCCTGCTTCTCCCTCTGCCTGTGTCTCTGCCTCTCTCTCTGTCTCTCATGAGTCAATAAAAATCTTTTAAAGAGAAGGAAAGAAAGACATGACATTCAGAAACCTTAGCCCACTTCTCCTCAAGTTGTGAGAGCCATGGCCTCCTTCTAGTCCCAGCCTGCTGTTTCCCCTGTTTCCCCCTGCTCTCTGCTTCACAGAGGGGATTTCTGGCTGTCCCTGCAAAGGCATCCTTTACCTTCCCCAACCTTCAGGGCTCTCAGAGAGTGGTCCTTTTCTGACCCCAGTCACCATGCTGGAATTTCTCATACAGTAAGTGAAGAGGGGTCTCTGGACGTGGAGGAGGAAGCATTTAGGCAAAAGTTGTTATTTCTCCCATCCAATTGAAGAACTAGGACTGAGCTTTTTTTAGCCACTCTATTGAATGGAAGGGTCAATAAAGGTGGAAGGGTCCTCAGAGACCATCTAGTCTGATGGTACAGTTAGAAGCTTATTTTCCATACTCCTAGCCCAGGTCTACTTCAACTATTCTACGCTGATTTTCCACAATTCTTATATGATCGCCTTTGATCCTTAGAACAATGGTAGGAATGAAGCGTGGAAACCGTTATTTTTTTTCAAGTTTCTATTAAGCAAATAGAGGCTTAGATATTGAGAACTTGTCCAAGCTAGCACAGCTGGTTAATGGTGTGTACAAAACAAATTCCTTCACAGGATTGATCGGCTCACTTCAGGTATCAGCAGGGGCCAGTACAATTTGAAAGTGTGAAGTGTGTCTATGTTCTAAGGAAGTCTGTTCATATACCATTTGATTGTTTTGGTCTTAATTGTTGAAATTTTGTATTCTTTCTATTCATTCCCAGGGGGCAGTGGAAGGGGAAAATCGGGTTTGGGGAGGGAGGTGGTTCTAGACTCTTTCAACAGTGAAGGCCCTCCCCAACTGCCTCTTGCATGTCTGCTTTCTAAAGGACAAAAGAGGCTGGATGGCAAGATCAAAGGGCCAACTGCCAGGGAAAGGAGTCTTAAGGAGGCGTCTCTCTCATGTAAGAGACTTTCTTTTTTCTTTTTCTCACTGACAAGAGAGAGTGGGGGAAAAAAGAAAAGAAAAGAAAAGGAAAGAAAAGAAAAAGAGGAAGGAGGGAAGGAAGAGAAGGAAGAAAGGAAAAAGCAAGAAGCATTTAAAGTCAAAAAACAACTCTCCAAATAATTAAGTGTTGGAGCAAAACGTCATACCTTTAGTGTTTGCCTCACTCCTTATATAAGGAGTAAGGATCTGCATACATCATTAATTTACTTCTGAATACAATAACCACAGAAATGGGTTTCCTGCATTTCAAAGAAAAAGGCTGTTACATTTAATAAGTTCCAGTTAAGCAGACAAGGAAAAGCTATTTTCTATTTCAGAAAGCTTTACATTGTGCGCACGTGCGCTCGTGTGTGTGTGTGTGTGTGTGTGTGTGTGTGTGTGTTTAAGCTTGCCGTCCAAAGCTTCTCTTCTGAGGGATAGTTCCACAGACAGGATGCACTAATGTCACTGTCACCGTGCTTATGTTGGTAGATTGACTGTGGTGAGTTCCGGGATCCCAAGGTCTACTGCACTCGGGAATCTAACCCCCACTGTGGCTCTGATGGCCAGACATATGGCAATAAATGTGCCTTCTGTAAGGCGATGGTGTAAGTATCATACTCAACAAAATCAGAAACATAGAAAACTTAGAGAAAATTTATCATCAATAAAAATATTATTTTACCCAAATTACTTTCCAACATTTTATTTTATATCAAATTATATATTGCTAAGTTACCATTTTCTGTTCATTCCTTTTTTTCATTTCGCTGAAAAAGAGCCTTTCAACAAAGAATAGTGGAAAAGATTATCCTTTATATGCAGACTAGTCAAACTTTACATAGTATACTAGGAAGATTCTATCAAGGACCAATATATATTGAATTTCATGTTTGTAAGGAACAGAACAGATGCTATAGATTTTAGGCAAAGATTTCGACCTTTCCAAGGATTTGGCTTATAATCAATAAAAAATTCAATCAATCGATCTTTAAGTCTAATTGATTACTCTAAAACCAGAGAAATTATAAACCTTGCTTAAGCCAGGTAAAAGTCTCTCACTCCTCACCACTGTCTTCATTTTCTTGTATTAGAGTTTCTTCTGTGTATGTCTTAATTTCTTTCAACTTTGCTATAAAATTTTAGGAATTTTATATTTTTAATATAGCTCCCTATTAAAAATAACAGACCAGACACATAGAATAAAATTAATAAATATTGAATCAACACCTAATATGTACCTACTTATGTAACATATCTGATTAATTAACACCAAATTTTCCCAGAAGAAAGGCAGTAGGGTAAAAAGAGATTTGATGTAATGGACACATATTACTGAGAAGGACCGAATATATGACCTGCTAAAGTGCCAAATACCTGAATGTTAGGTTCAGCCTCTTATATCTTCTATCAGGACTATGACACTAGAGTCCCTTTGCCATTATCTCTCCTTCACTTTTACTTTTCTGGTTGTATACATATTTACTCTCAGAGAATGAACAATTGAAAACAAAAGGTCAAACCTGGGTAAAATTCTGAAATTTAAGATTCCTGTTTTCTGTAATTTGTCCAGATGTCATCTCCAAGTACATTTAGTTGCCCTCTGCCAAATCATAAATGTGGATACCTGTAGAACCAAATAATGGCATGGACTCTAAATAGTTAAACGTTTTTTCAACCTTTGTCATGAATACTAATGATGTTGCACTGAGCATACATGTATATTTCTCTTTTATAGGAAAAGTGGCGGGAAGATCAATCTAAAACATCAAGGAGAATGCTGAATTTTCTGCAGTGTTGGTGGTGACTTCTAGCCACTTCTTTTCTCACTTCTGTTTTTCTCGAATGGGTCCCTTAAATTTATAAAGATATACTGTCTACACTGCACGGCTCTTGGGTAGTTCAATATACACCTACTTCCCTGGCTTTGCTTGTCAATAAAGTAAATTCTGTAGAATCATTCCTGTGTTTTTACTTTGAGGTGAGGAATACATACAGATACAATATGGAATAATTGACCTGGCATAAACTTGGATAAAAAGACCTGGTTTTTTTTGGATCTAAATCAACCAAGCAGTCACTGTGGGATCTTGGGAAAATCCCCTTCCCTCCCTTATTCTTGAAGTTGCCATGTAGATGATGAAGGATTTTTAACAATGTGACAATACATTAGGTTTACAATTATTTTGCAATACCTATTATTTAAGTCATAGGTCACATAATATCGCTCCTTCCTAATTTCAGGAAAAGTACTTTATATAAAACTAAAACATTCATCCTCTCTAGACCACAGTTTTCTCATCTCTTTGGAATGGTACATTTATGCACATAGATATTACCTTTTATGTATATCTTTTATGTATATTAAGTCAGACCTAACCAAACTAGGGGATGCATCTGGTATTTAGATAAAGAGCCAGAGAGATTAGGTTATGCTAGAGAAAATATACACCTTCTACCCTTTCAAGTGTGGGATTTGTACTCTTCCATGCTTAAAGAGTATTCCCCTTGCTGGAGAAAAAGGCCCACTGCTCATTAATGAAATTAAGCTTTTCTTCTCCTTTTTAGTTTCTACTCCCTGATAAAATTTTGTTACTTCCAATGTAGACACACAGGCATTCTGCGGAGTTTGGAAACTGTCATTGTGCATCTTTGAACATATTGCCTCTTGATGTGGCCCACTCCTCCTCTCTCCTATTGGAACCGTCCCCTCCAGCTGGGCCAGGGTCCTGTCAGCTGTCCACACAGAATATCTATTTCCACCTCGTTGTCCTGTCCTGCCTGGAATGGCTCTTGTGCCACCTTGTGCCACTCTGTCTACCCTTTCTTCCTCATACAAATCTCTTACCTATCTCTTAAGACTACCATTGATTTCAAGGCTTACTTCAGGGTCCATAACTGGATAAATAATTAAATTACTATCTCTTAATAGTTCTGAGCTATTCTTTGGAGATGGAAGGGAAGGGAACCACATAAAAAATAAACCACAGAAGACCAGAAATCTTGTATTTCTTAGAAAGAAGAGGCAAGTCACACATACAATAATGGTCAAGATATAGGAATTTGGGCTCAGAAATGTATACATTTGTCAAACCTCAGTGAATACATACTTAAGATTTATGTGTACCATAGTTTACAAATTTGACATCAAAAGAATGTAAACATGTAGTGTTGTCTCTTTTTTACATGTAGTATAGTCTTAAATGTGATATGTATAGTGAATTTTTTAAGAGAGAATGTTACTGATGTCTGCAACTTACTTTGTTTGGGTTTTTTTTTTTTTTGCAATTTACTTTGAATTGCATCTAAGATGCATTAATGGACAGATACATGACAAACCTAGCATAGTAAAATAGTAATGGTACAATCTAGCTGGTGGTTTTAAAGGGGTTCACTATAAAAGTATTTTAATATTGCTGTATGTTTAAAGTTTTTCAGTAAAAATGTTTTTTTAATGGTTTTTAAAAGCACAGAGAAGCAAATATTCAGGGGCACCTGGGTGGCTCAGTGGTTGAGCGTCTGCCTTCTCGGCTCAGGTCATGATCCCAACTGGGATTGAGTCCTGCATTGGGCTCCACGTGGGAAGCCTGCTTCTCCCTCTGCCAATGTCTCTGCTTCTCTCTCTCATGAATAAATACATATTTTTTAAAAAAAGAAGCAAATATTCATAATTCTGTTAATGTTCCTCACTATTTTGATGGTCAGGACAGAACACACTGTTTTAAGCATGGTTTGTACTCTTCTCTTCAAAGCATAAGAAAATAATTCATTTGATCTGAACTCTTATCTATCCTTATACCTTCAAATGACCATGGGTTCATTGTCAAAACCAGATCATACCAAATTTATAATCACTAACTATCCTCAGGCATTTTTCTTTCCCTGCCAAGTCTTGCCAAGTCACATCTTTCTCATCTGTTCACCTCTTATGGGTTTTTTTAAACTAAATTCACTGCAGAAATGATGTGCTGTGTCAGTGATGAGGCTGAGTGAGGGGGGCCTTTCTGGTGGCTTGTTTGTGTCTATGTAAAGTTTTCTTGAAGTAGTATACATAAACATATGCACACCACTCTCACACTCTAAAATTGCAAAGGGAACAACGGGGGGGGGGGCGGAGGCCATAGAAAATAGTAGCAAAGATAAAAGACCAAAATAACTCACCACAAACAATTAGGTTTACCAATATATCACTGATTACCCATATTCCCAGTGATCAGCACCCAAATATTATCACATTTATATTTAGCAATACTTGTGAAGTTGCAGCCCCATTTTATGCAAGAGGAGGCTGAGGTAGAAAGATATAAATGATTTGTCCACGATCTCACAGCCAAGAAGTTACAGGGCCTCTATTTACTCAAGATGACCACATCAATCCCATATTCCTAAACTACCTTTCACATAATTATAGTAATTTGAGTGATTTGGATGTAAGTGTTGAATTGGAGGGATTAGTCCTATATATTTAGAGACATCAGAATTAAAAGTATTCATGAACTTAGCAAAGGCTTAAAATAACATATAAAGAAGGTGACTGTATCTATCATAATTCCTAATGTGTGAACACTGATGTTAATTTTGTGATAGGGCTACAGCCATAGTCTGAGAAGACCTGGTTCAAAGAGGCCACTAACTCTGAAGGAGGCATTCTGTGAAGTCTTTTTGATCTTTCTCTGACTTTCTTCTTTTCTTCCCCAGAGCTGGTATCTGTGACTACAGAGTTTGGGTGCATTTCAGTTCTGTAACTTGACCTAAAGGAAAATAAGCATAACGTATGTGAGAAGATTTATATCTAACCCAAAGAGAGAAGGAAAGATATCCTTTCATGGCCCCATTTAGCTCACTAGTTACTCTTTAGATCTGATAAGACACATACACTAAAAGAACGCACATCATAAAGCACAATCCCATAAGTTTTGGTATATTGTGTCTCCATTTTCATTTGTCTCAAGTGTTTTTTTTTTTATGTCCCTTTGATTTCTCCTTTGTCCATTGGGTTTTTTGTGGAAATGTATTATTTAACTTCCACATATTTGTGAGTTTTCCAATTGTCCTCCTATTACTAACTTACAGATCAAAAATTGTGTAATCAGAAAAGATATTGATATGACTCCAATTTTCTTAAATTTGTTAAGACTTGTTTTGAGGCCTAACAAATGATCTATCCTAAAGAATGCTCTGAAAAAAAAAAAAAAAAGAATGCTCTGTATGCACTTGAGAAGAATGTGCATTCTGCTGCTATTGGATGCATTGTTCTGCTCCACTTCATCCATCTGGCCTAAAATGTAGTTCAAAATCAATATTTTCTTTTTAATGTTATGTCTAGATGATTTATCATCTGTTGAAGTGGGATATTGAAGTTCCCTACTATTATTGCATTGTTATCTATTTCTCCCAACAGTTCTATTAACATTTGCTTTATAAATTTAGATGCTCCAACATTGGGTACATATATATTCACAATTGTTACATCCTATTGATGACTTGATATTTTATCATTATATAATGACCTTCTTCTTCATTTGTTAAAGTCTTAAGGAAAGAAATTAAAGAAGACACAAATAAATGGAAAGGTATTCTGTGTTCATAGACTGGGGAGAATTAATATTGTTAAAATGTCCATGGTACCTAAACTATTCTACAGTTTCAATGCAATTTCTATCAAAATTCCAATGATATATTTCACAGAGATAGAAAAAAAATCCTAAAATTCATATGGAACCACAAAACACCCTGAAAAACTAAAGTTATAGAGGAAGTCTTGAGAAGGAAGAGCAAAGCTGGAGATATGACTCATACTAATTTTAGATCACATTATAAAGCTGTAGTATTCAAAGCAGTGTGGTAATGGCTTAACTGTGAACCAATGGAACAGAATAGAGGAACCCAGAAATAAACTCACAAGTAAATGATCATTTAATCTTTGAGAAAGTGCCAAGAATACAAAGTAGGAAAAGTAGTCTTTTCAGTAAATGGCTTTGGAAAAGCTGGATCTCCACATGCAAAAGGATGAAAATGGACCTTTATCTTAGACCATATACAAAACCCAACTTGAAATGGATTAAAGACTTAAACATAAAACCTTGAGTTGTAAAACTCCTGGAAGAAAACTAAGGGAAAATCTCATGAGTTTGGCTTTGACGGTGACTTTCTGGATAGGGCATCAAAAGCACAAGCAACAAGTGCAAAACTAAGCAAGTGAGATTACATCACCCTAAAAAGCTTCTGCACAGCAAAGGAAATGATCATCTAAATGAAAAGGGAACCTACAGAGTGAGGAAGATACTTGCAAACCATGTATCTGATAAGGGGTTAATATCCAAAATATATAAGGAACTCATGCAACTCAAAAATCTTTTAAATTGATTAAAGAATGGGTAGAGAAACTGAACAAATATTTTCCCAAGAAGACATACAAATGGCCAAAAAACACATGGAAAGATGCTCAACATCACTAAGCATTAGGAAAATGCAGATCGAAACCACAATGCAATATTGCCTCAACACCTGTTAGGATAGCTATTATCAAAAATTCGAAAGGTAACAAGTTTTGGCAAGGATGTGGAGAAAAAAAAAGCTTCATACATTGTCAGTGGGATTGCAAATCAGTTCAGCCATTGTGGAAAACAGTACAAAGACTTCTCAAAAAAATTAGAAACAAAACTACCATGTGGTTCAGCAGTTCCACTTTTAGGTATGTATCTAGAGGAAATAAGATCTGGATCTCAAAGAGATAGCTCCCATGTTCACTGCAGCCTTATTCACAATAGCCAAGATATGGAAACAACCTAAATGGCTGTCGGCAGGAATAAAGAAAATTTTATAGATGTTGTTAAAGGATAAACTGAGGCACACTAAAATTTACACATTAATTCAGGTAAATGCCAATTCATATCAAGCAGCACTAAACTTAAAATTGTTAGGACCACCAACAGAAGCTAGAGGAAAGGCTTTTACACAG